ACTAACAGACTACAAGAAGGCGAAGGCTGCAATCTTCACACGTCGATTTCATTTTCTCCATGCAAAGAATTTCGTACATTAAGTTTGGACCCCCAAGTGACTCCACCGATGGGCATTGGGCGGTCCCCACGAGCTTTTAATCATGTCAACATATTTCGAGCAACCAGGGCCTTGGAATACTTCAGTACTGCCCAAGCGCAGCCCGGTGACTTCTGTAGGCCCCGACTTTACACCCATCTTCGAAGACACTGTCTTGTCGCTGCTACCATCGGCACTTTTGTTACTAATCCTACCGTATCGCATCGCATGCCTTCATGGTCAGCAGCCGAAAGTCCTTCCTGGAGGCTTTCTACGCGAAAGCAAGTTCATCTTCTTAGCCACATTGGCTGCCACTCACCTCGCGCTGTTGATCTTCCACATTCTGAGCCCATCACTCCGCACGCCCGCCACTCTTCCCGAGTCCGCCGTAACATTTGTTGCCAGTCTAGGCCTTTGTCTACTTTCGCGGCTGGAACATACTCGCTCCGTCCGCCCATCGGCCATCATCAATGGCTACATCCTTCTGACTTTGGTGTTTGACGCTGCCCGCGTGCGAAGCTTGTTCCGCGCGTCAGCCGCCAGTTTTATTTCCGGAGTATTCTCTAGCATGATCGCTGTGAAGGTAATGGTTCTACTGGCAGAGGCAGTGGAAAAGCGACAGATTCTCCTGCCGCCGTACCGAGGCTTGTCGCCAGAGGAAACGAGTGGCATCTACAGCCGATCCTTTTTCTTCTGGCTGAACCAACTCATGATATCGGGCTTTCACAGTGACCTTCAGAACGAAGACCTGTATCCCATTGATAAGAATATGTCCTCACAGTTCCTTCAACAGCGCATCAAAAATGCGTGGAATATGGCGGCACAGAACAAGCCGCGAGCCTTGTTCTGGACAGTGCTACGTGCGAACCTGAAACCCTTTCTTTATTGTGTTCTTCCCCGTTTGGTTCAGATTGGGTTCAAATATACCCAGCCCCTCTTGTTAACCCGCACCGTCAGCTTTGCGAACGATGAGCGCCAACCTGAGAGTATTGGATGGGGTCTAACGGGCGCCTTTTTCCTCGTGCTCCTCGGGGTTGCTCTGTCGAATGGCGTGTTCTACCACATGACCTTTCGCTTCGTGACCAGTGCTCGCGGGAGTTTGATCAGTACCATCTATGCCAAAACGCTGGATCTGGACATCACGGCTCTCGATGAATCAATTGCAGTGACACTCATGTCCAGTGACGTTCAATCCATTTGCAACGGGCTGCAGCTGGTTCATGATCTCTGGGCGGTACCCCTAGAACTGGCTATTGTGGTTTATCTCTTAGCGCAGGAGATCAAGATGGCAGCGATAGTCCCGGCTGGCTTGGCGATTTTCTGCACGGCCGCTATTCTGTCCATGGCTAAATACATGAGCAACGCACAGAAAGTCTGGATGAAAAGCATTCAGACGCGAGTCGATGTCACGGCAACCATGCTAGGGTCTATGAAGTCAGTCAAAATGCTGGGTTTCACCGACTGGCTCTCGCGAAATATCCAACGGCTTCGTGTTCATGAGCTTCACGAGGCGAAGCTATTTCGCCGGTTGCTCGTATTACGTGTATTCCTTGCAAATAGTATCAGGTTCCTCGCCCCACCGATTACGTTAGCCATCTACGCGGTAGGAGCCAAAGAGGGACAGGGATTGAATGTGAACTCGACCTATACGACGCTGTCGCTGATCTCTCTGGCTGCCTCACCCGTGAATGTTTTCATTCGAGCTCTCCCTGCCATGAATACTGCCTTGGCCTCGCTCACCCGTATCCAAGAATATATGCAGTCAGAGAGCAGACGGGATTCTCGCATCTTCACGGAAGATCCTCGAGCCTCTGTCCAGGAATCTCAGGCAACCTCGGAGAACATAGAACTCGCAGATATGAGCCGCCCCAGATACCACAGTGCTGCGGAGGTAATCACTGCCCGCGATGTGAGCTTTTCATGGAATCAATCATCATCTTTCTCGATTCACAATATCAATTTGAGTTTTCGCGAAAGCCAATTCTACTTCATAATTGGACCGGTGGGCTGCGGGAAGAGCACGCTCGTGAAGGGTATTCTCGGCGAAACGCCTTCAACAAAGGGATTATTACACGCAAGACACCGAGAGACGGCATTCGTCGATCAGACGCCCTGGATCTGCAATATGTCGTTCCGCGATAATGTTGTGGGCGCCTCCCCATTCACCGAGACATGGTATCACCAAGTTGTCAGCGCATGTGGACTGGATCAAGATGTTGCTTATCTTCCGCATGGCCACGGTGAGTTATCCTTATTCGAGCGCCCGTGTTACCCAAAGACACTCTAACCCACAATATCAGCTACGAAGGTTGGTTCATCTGGTATCTCCCTCTCTGGTGGACAGAAGCAAAGGCTGGCCCTGGCTCGTGCAGTGTATGCACGCAAGAGGATTGTCATCCTCGATGATGTTCTGTCAGGAATTGACCTAGACACCCAAGACCATATTATGAGGAGCCTGTTTGCCGACCAGGGCGTCCTTCGTCGGCTGGGGACAACGGTAATCATGGCTACGCATTCTGTACACAGTCTCTCTTATGCGGATTATGTCGTCGCCATGCGAGGTGATGGGTCTATTGCAGAACAGGGTACACTAGAGGATCTCGAGGCGAGTAGCGGCTACATGAGTACATTGCGAGCCCAGTATAAGCATCGAACAACTAAGGATTCTAGTTCGCAAACACATACGTCTGTAAACGATGCACATATCGGCTTGGAGCAAAGACAGCGGGCTGACACCGCCAGCCAGGAGAGGACCAGGCAGAGTGGAGACTGGACTCTTTACCTGTGGTATTTCGGCACCGTGCACCGGGCATCCACGGCTCTTTGGATGAGTTCTTTCATATTGGAAGGCATACTTCCCAAGATCAGCGAATGGTTGGTCAACGTCTGGATGGGCGCAGTCGCGAGCCAGGGCAGCGGCGTCAACCCTTTCTACCTGGGTCTTTATTGCATGTCATCGATCATAACGGCTGTGAGCCTCGTTGGTGGCTCGTACCACCTACTTATGTTCTTTGCGCCCCGCAGTGCTGAGAGACTGCACGAGCGTCTCTTAAACTCGGTCATGCATGCGCCTCTCTCGTTTTTCACTTCGGTCGATACTGGCACCACAGTGAATCGGTAAGCCGTTCTGGGTTATCGATTCATGCCGTCGCGTCACATTACTAACCACGGTTTATAAACAGGTTCAGTCAGGACATGACGCTGGTCGATCATGACTTACCATACGCCGTCCTAGATTTCGTGTTCGCTCTCGCAGGGGGGCTTATTTCCGCGGTCATGATCTGCATCTCGACCCGGTACTTCGCAGCCGTGATTCCGCCCCTGTGCCTGTTCCTGTGGATGCTGCAGAAATTCTACCTCCGCACCTCCCGGCAGATGCGGCTGCTGGACCTGGAGGCCAAATCCCCGCTCTTCTCGCAATTCCTCGAGACCCTGTCCGGTTTGGTGACCATCCGTGCGTTCGGGTGGGCATCCGCCTGCGAAGAACAGAGCCTCACCCTTCTCGACGAGTCCCAGCGACCTTTCTACCTGTTGTTCTGCATCCAGCGATGGCTGGAACTCGCGCTGGACCTGTCCGTTGCGGTGCTCGGTGCGGTTCTCATGGTGCTGGTGGTCAAGCTACGCGGAACGCTGGGCACCGGCTACGTCGGGCTTGCCATCCTGAACGTTATCACCTTCAGCCAGTCGCTGTCGCAGATCCTCCGCAACTGGGCGGACCTGGAGACCTCCATCGGCGCGATCGCCCGCATCCGGGACTTTGTGACCCACACGCCGTCCGAGGATCAACCTGGCGAAACTGTGGGGCTGGCCGAGCAGGTAGAATGGTCCTCATGGCCGTCCAGGGGAGCCATCGAGTTCCAAAACGTCTGCGCATCGTACACGGCCGGAGACGCAGCCAACACTCCGGTGCTTCGAAACCTATCCCTGTCAGTGCAACCAGGACAAAAGATTGGCATCTGTGGCCGCAGCGGGAGTGGCAAGAGCTCTCTTCTGGCGGCCCTGTTCCGACTGCTGGAGCTCGACCCCCGTGGCCGCATCTTGATCGACAATGTCGACATTGCGCGTATCCCACGACAGATGATCCGCGACGCGCTCAATGCTATCCCGCAGGACACATTCTTCACACACAGCACCATTCGGACCAATCTGGATCCGGGGGGCCGACATAGCCATGCGGAGGTGGAGCGGGCGCTTCGCCGTGTGGGGCTGTGGGCGGCGGTGCAGACGAAGGGGGGAGTCGGAGTCGCCCTGGACGCGAACGCGTTCTCGCACGGCGAGCGACAGCTGCTCTGTCTCGCGCGGGCACTGCTACGGAAGAGCAGGGTGGTGGTGCTGGACGAGGTGTCGAGTAATGTGGATGTCGTGGCGGATGCGCGGATGCAGCGGGTGATCCGGGAGGACTTTGCCGGCTGCACGGTGCTCGCGGTCGCGCACCGGCTCGAGACGATTCTGGATTTTGATCGCATTGCAGTGATGCATGAGGGCCAGCTGGTCGAGTTCGATACGCCCGAGGCACTGCTCAGCACGGATACTGCGTTTAGGCGGCTATACCAGTCGTAGAGCTGAGAAAGACGCAACAGTCGAGTCGTCGTATACCATACTTCAAGCCAGGTAGTTGAGGTTCAATCATCAGAGCTTAAACCGCACACGTTTTAGTCCTATTTTCAATGTCAAGACGGTGTTGGAAATGGTAGTGCTACCACTGAACATCACTCCTCCGGGCCCTTCTGCTTGCGACAGACCTCAGAAGAAGAGATCTGCCGCAGTTTCGGCACGTTGTGGGGATAATTACAACAAATAAGGTATGGAAACGCCCGGCTCTGTGGGGGTCTAGCTGCGTAGCATGATAAGCAGGCTTCATGCGCCTTGGGCTTAGTGCTTACAGTTCCACGCTGTACTCGTGGCTAGAGGTTAGACGAGCCCGCCACTAATATTCCAATCTCGCTGAATTCTCCACCCGGAGCAACGCATCGGTGGATTATCTCCGATGATGAGAGTCACTGTGATGAGCCGCCTGAAAATGTGCATGGGAAGGTTGCTTTAGCGTTTCTCCTCCACCGTAGGTTTAAATTCACCAACGGCCCTTCTCTCTCGTTCGTGGCGAGCAAGGGCTCTCTCCTCCCCAATCTGTCTGTTTCCTCTCTCTCACATAATCAGGTATATTCTCACTGGAACTCTGGCTCAATGCGCAGGAACTGATGATCGCAGAGATTCACAATTGCGCCCATGGCAGCCACCGTCCCCAGCCATGTCCCTGCCTACACCCTCGGAACTCTTAGCGTGGCTCTGGGCCTGAACGCCATCTTTCGCCCTGCGGCAGAGTATCCGCGTTTTGGATTGCCGTTGGAACACGGCGGCGGTCAGACTCCACCGCACCGGGGCTCCGTCGTCTCCCCGCTCATGTATCTGAAAGGCATCCGGGAGATCAGCTATGGCCTGTTGCTTATCGGGTTACAATCCCAGGGCCAAGAGACGGCCGTCACGACGTTGGCGGCGGTTATGGCCTGTGTAGGGCTGGCGGACGGCGTCGTGGTGTGGTGTTGTGGAGGTGCGGAACGGAGACAGAAAGCTTGGGGTCATTGGGCTACGTTCTTAGGGCTGGGAGCGTGGGCTTGGTACCGGGTTTCTTGTTGACGGAGCTGGTTGAGGCTCAGGTGAAAAGCACTTCGATGGCCTCGTGTGGCAAAGGCGCATTGGCGACTGCTGCACTGACGGCGGGAGAAATGAAGGGAACGGGACTATCTCAATCTGGGTCCGCCTAAGACATAGGTAATCAGTGATACAAAGATTGAACAGAAAATGTAAAAATTGAAGCTGGTCTTGAGATCTCCATGACAGCTTTCGCTACTTGAAGAAGTCCGGTGGCCACCCATCTGCTGGGCGCGATGCTCACCGGGCACTGAAAGGGAGGATAAATGGAGAGGCAACATTTAAAGAACTGCGACGGAGCATCTGACAAAAGGAATTTGTTGTAAAAGTCCTGAGGGAAGGGGAAATCATCAGCGCGTCAACTGCGGAGCTGAAGAACTCCCGAAAGAAAAGTCGCCCGGGAAAAGCCATCCGAGGCGTGTCCGAAGTCAGCATCGGAGGAATAAGCAGACAAGACACCAACAGCCTTTCCCAGGTGGAGAGGTTGCGCCCAGTCTTGATATCCTCGAGCGTGAGCCTTCGGACAAAACTGGCGAAGCCACCCTGAGCATCATTACTGGCTCCGCATGCGGCGCTGTCAGGGCCTTTCTCTGGCCGCTGTGGATCCAGAAATAGGCGGATTGTCGTCGGTTGAGTCTGAGTACCCCCGGAGTCTTCGACCGGCTGCGTGCTTGATCTGTAACACCGCACACCAGCAAACCCCGAATCGAACTTCAACATAAGCACGGCGGATCCTCCGCCGGGATGTCAAAAGCATCACGAAAGTCCACTTTTGGGGCTGTCCCGCTCTGGACGTGTTGCATGGGACGCGTCGACAGGGATGAGACCCTCACATGCCCAATCATATTGCCTCCTTGGTCGAGATGTCAACGTATCACGAGAGTCCATATCTAGGGCTGCCTCGCCTTGCTACACCTGGTTGGTACGCGTCGACAGGGGTGGACACGAAGACAGGAGAGTCGGATCTTGTCAGATCGTTTGATCACGTTGCTGCTGGGGATGGGCGCAGGTCTCAGTTTCCTGCTGGTTTTCACTGGAGTAGAAGGTGTTGGAGGGGACTCTCTGCCAGCGGAATTGAGGTCTGGTGTATCTGACCGTCAGCCATTGCTTGAGAACTCATTCTTATGCCACTTACCAACCGAATCCGCTGTTTCTAGTATAAAATCTTGGTCTCTGCACCTGGCGGAAGGCTTTAATTTTGCAAGACGGAGAGGGAAAGGGGCGGACGCGGCGTGCTATTCCTCCTACGTGAATGCAACGCTATCCTCAAAATGCGGTAGACGGCTGATCTGCGCTGCGACTGACTGAAATATGGTGACTTCGCGCGGCTGCCTGCAACTTCTAACACAGTGACAGACCAACTGGTTGTAACTCGGGCGGGTGGAAACTTTGGCGATATTTGGAGAAAATTGTGAAGGGATGGTGAACCCTGCGAGTAACTGTGCAAGCTATTCGGATTCGACGCCCGAGGCTCGAATTAACTCGGGAACACTTAATAAGCTTGTGACCGTAGGAACCCCTGGTCAGGTATGACGAGATTTTCAGCTAGATGGCACCCTTGGGGCGATGGCTGGTGAGGCAGAGAGGTTCGTCTGGTGATAATTGAGACAAATGCGAGTCGAACAAATAAACCAGGTATAGTCGATGAGTTGGTATGCAAGCTGAAGGGAGGAGCGGGGAGGATGGAGCATGTTGAGAGACTATGAGCAGACTCGCTATGGAACATAGGTGGAGATTAGGCAGGGAACGGGGAGTATGATAGCTTGTAAATACTGTTCTGACGCGTGTGTTGCAGATCAAATCAGCAATCCTAGCCATATTCACGAACTCGCACATGTCCTTCTTGGCTTGGCATAGATATATGCACATTATATAGAACTGCAACCCTCCTTGCACAGATTAACCAGATGGATATGTAGTCTAGTCTGACGCCGGACTTACCTGACTCATTTCGAGTCAATCAGAACCTCATCAACCGCCTTTGCTCCCGGGATAGGAGAATCCTGGTTCAAAGATGTGTGAATAAAAAGGGTCTATAGCGCGGCCAATTCTCCCGACGCAATATCACTTCCCTGCTACATTCCACGCGACCTGGGGTCACCTGGTAAAATCCCATTTTGCCTCACAAACGTGATACACGACTCGCCATGCTGTGTGACTGGACACTACATAGTATACTTATGGTATAAACAAGAGGTCAAAAGGGACGTACTCATCAACTGGCATTCCTGCTGCGGAAGTGGTGGCTCCACGCGGCGCCAATCACACTCCATCGTGTGGGTGAAACAAGCCTACGTAGAACTATGAGAATGAAGTCGAAGAATACAGACGCTGGTTGATCTAGACAGGCAGGGATTCCAGCAATTCCTGATGGTGAAAGTTAGCTTAGGGGTCTGAGGATCTGGTCAGGCCACGGTGTTTGTTATCGAAAACATGCTTGTTCACCACCAAACACGGGACCTATATTCTCCATATTCGCAGCCATGGGTCTTTGGTCTACGCGCCTTGCAGCAGCTGGCGGCCCTGTACAGAAACCTGACGAGTCTCACCACACAGCTTCCAGCGCTCCTGGACGCTTTATTCAAGCCACTTGACAGAATTACGTATGTATGCGAGGATGCCGACGCTTTGCATGCAATCAAAAGGGGAGTGCTCGGAAATACTTGTGGCTTCGGTCGCGTGATTTCGCCCTTTTCGCGGGACAGCAAACATGACGAAGACCTGATGAGCAAAAGACCACTCACAGCTAGAAACTCGAGCAGCGTCTCTACACGTCAGTGACTATGTTGGCCTCCACTCTCCGCGCGATCCAGGGGTGAGAGATTGCGTCAAGCCGTGCGTGACGGGTGCCAAGTGGAGGGTATGGTGTGGATGCTACACTATAGACACTGCAGGCGGATGCATACAGTCGAGTCAACCTTCCTGTAGCCGTCATAGCTAGGTCAATACAGACACAAGCTTGCGCTTCAGTCTGTGATTAAGACATGGGAAAGGAATGATCAGTCCATAGTAAAATGGCCACGAGGACCGACCTGGAATTGAACAAGCCATCCCGAATGTCCAATTCCGTCGCGCTGTCTTCAAGAATGATGGCTTCGAAGTTGTCAATTATCATCCAAGGTTCATCTGTGACGATGAATTACCTCAACGAGGTGCCAGAGAATGAGACAACAGGGAGGCATTGGAACACAGGGTGTCAAACCTTGTCGGGGAGAAGGGGAATGTGGAGCATGGAATTTTCTTGACACTCTCACCAATAACGGCGGATGGAGACTTCCGGAGATTAAATCCCGAAGAAAGGTGAGACAGCAAGGAAAGGTCTGAATTAGTCTGAGTTGAAATCCAGTTCCCACTCCGGCTAGACCGCAGGCTATGGAATGTCATGTCATTCTTGCTGCAGAATCCCCGACATTTGACTGCCCAGCCTAACTTGCACAATTCACCCACTTTCCCAAGTGCCTTGATCGTAGAAAGGACTCGCCGCCTATGCTGCCGGAACTGTTGCGCCTAGTGCAATAACACTGATGCAGTCAAGTATACTCATGCATCAACCTGCACAGGCTACTGCACAACATGAGAAAAGACCATAGCAATGCCTGTCGCAGTTTTGATGCATACTAGATGACTGGACGTCATTCCAAGATCACTATCCGTTCAGCTTATGACCTCATGCATGACTCGCGCAATGGATGCATGCATCTAGCGCCGCAAACAGAGACGCTTCTGGGTTGCTTCTGGGCTAGAAACTTTTAACACTTCCATGCGATTTTTCTGTGGAAGCGGTGGCAAGGATGAAGTCTGGCACCGGGATCGGATATGCTACATCCGCTCACAGGATTGAGGCTAGAACCTACCTGTCCCATGTTAACGAGTTTGACCGGCAGTGACAGGACATGTCTCTCGCTGTCTTGGCCGCGCCGAGCTGGCGGGCAGCGCATTGATAATTGTGAGGCTCTGTCATGGACTACCTGGATATTTGTCCTTGGAAGTAAGATCATGTTGCGATTGCAGATTTCCCAAGACTTTGACAATACATCGCTATCATGACGGGCCCATCGACGACAAAAGAGGGTGAGGAAGGCGGGGCTGGATCTGAGCCCTATCTCCATCTCAGTAGATCGCTGCGCTTCTCGAGTCTAGATGAATATCAGTACTGGCACCACCACGGCCCCATGTTGGGGAAGCTACTATTCGACGGCAATTACAGTGTGCACCGACAGTATGAGTATCTCTGCCTCTTCGCCCACCTAATCGTTCCTTCTTTGGGCCCCTTCCCTAGCCCAGGCCGCGAGCTCTTTCAATGCATCCTAGGCAGCACTGGGCCCTTTGAACTGAGCCAGAATTTCACCAAGACCCGTTCAACCACGCGCATTGCATTCGAGCCGACCAGCTACAGGGCCACTACAGGTCAAGATCCATTCAACCGCGCTCTACTACCCTGCGCTCTGCACGACCTAAAGGCCATCGGCGCCGCGATCAACTTAGACTTACACCATGCCCTCCTCGAGCGTCTGACACTCAGCGACAGCGACATTACACACCTACCTCCCACCGAAATCGCAAACCTACCCTTCAAGACACAGACAATCCTTGCCCTCGACCTGGACCCAGCCGGAGTCTCCGTCAAGGAGTACTTCTACCCAACACTCAAGGCCCAAGTCACAGCTCAGTCGGCGACGCAGCTATGCCTGGATGCCATCCGCACCATCGACGCCGAGCAACTCTTCGCGCAGGGGTGCGACGCCCTCCAGGAATACCTGCAACAGCCGGAACAAAAGACGGACATCTTCCTCGTGTCCTGCGACCTGGTCGACCCGCTTCGCACACGGCTGAAGTTCTACCTCGCCGAATTCGACGTCCGCTTCGACCGTGTCATCGAGCACTGGACAATGGGTGGCCGGCTGGCGAAGGAGGATCCAGATATCACTGAGGGCCTGTCAATGCTAGAGGAGCTCTGGCGTGCTCTAAATATTGTGGAGGGCCCTCGCGCTTATCCCACCCGGCCCTCGCAGCCCGGTGATCCTCCCACGTACTTGCCTTTGATGCTCAATTACGAGATCCATCCTGGCCGTCGCGCCCCAATCCCCAAATTCTACTTCCCCATTTCCGGGATTCCGGATACCAAGGTCGCGGCTGTGCTGACGGAGTTCTTTGAACGCCATGACATGTCAGATCAAGCCGCTGTCTATGCTGCGAACTTGCAGAACTACTTGTGAGTTTATCATCTCCTTCAAGCGGGCTAAAGGACTCAGGAGCGCAGTGGAAACTGACTGGGATCCTAGTGCGGGGGAGAACCTGGACGAGACCACGCATCACCAAGCGTGGTTGTCTTTTTCGTACGCTAGGAGCAAGGGCCCGTATCTTACTGTGTATTATCATTGAAATGAAATGTATCTATGCAGAGAGAAAATAGTCGTTAGTCGTGGAAAATGAATACTCGATAAAATATGATCTGTGCTTGGGAAAGAATATGATTGCAGTGAATCCATGTTCCAAAGTTCAGGGCCCAAAAAGCCGCTCTGCTGGTGGCAGCATTATGTCTTAGACGATATCTACAAAAATAACACTCCAGGATCATGATGAAAATGGTTTGCCATGCATGCTCCATGTGTGGACAAAACTGTGGTTGCGGTGGCTGGGTGATCGGCGGAAAAAGATTGGGCGAAATATACTTCTGGGCCTTGGCCCACCGCGAGCGTCTGACAGCGATTTGGCAGCTCCATGACACTTGAAAGGATCATACCAACTACCTATTGAGCATGCGCCATCCAGCCATGTCTGTGCACAGTACATTCTTCTGGTCTTGACGGCCGATTGTTCCGCCCAATGGGAGTGACGCGGCGGGAAATGCCATGGCCCGGGATTCAGGTTTGCTCACATTCTTTCCCTGCTTCTCTTCTCATTCTCCTACTTCACTTCTACACTTTTTGTCTCGGTGTGCTATCCGTTATACGGTCTTTACCTTGGTATATGCCTCCCCGGGAGGAAGATTTGAATGGGATAAAATCGGTACTCGTAGTGTACAATGCTTTTGATTATTTACCGCACAACGTTACCTACAGAAGTGACTCCTATCCCTTGCTCAGTCTGCCCAGAACCCTAACATTAGATTATGCGGGACTCAACCCAGACCCCGCCTCCTGGGTCTTCCACTTTCCCTGTTATATTTGTTGCCCCGCAAAAAGAGAAAGAAAAGAAAAGGGAAAGGTATGGAAAAAGCAAAAAGACCAGCAGAATTCTCCTGTCTTCAACATGTCCTTTCTCAGTTCTTCAAGGGCTCACAGCCAATTCCGCGGGCAATACTCCTTGCAATAGGCGTCATGCCGGGTTGGCCATAGAACTCGCGAAGCAACTGCATCGCCCGCCCGCGGGGCTGAATGTCCGCGCAATCGTGCAACTCCCCGGGCATCGGGCGTGGAATCAGAGGGTTCTCGGGCTGTAGCTGCTCCAGAATGGTGAGGACATCTGTCCAGTTGGCCGACTCACCAAAGGCGAACAAGCGTTCCGAGGCTACTGTCGGCTCGAGCAAAGCAATCACAAACAGCCGGGCGATATCTTCGACGTCGACAAACCACTCTGGGACGAGTCAGTTGGTGGACAACTATTCAATCCGAAAAGAAGAGGGCCTGAATTGAAAGGCTGAGAGGCTCACTGGGTGGAACAAGAGTCATTGGGGTACGGTCCCCGTGAAGCAGGCCGCGTACCCAGTTCATGGTCGAGCCGGGGATCTCGTCCATCAGGATCTTGCCGACCTGTTTTGCTTTAGCGAGGGAAACAGACGCCAGGAATTGGAGGGACGAGAACAAACCGCAAACGCTGCGACTACAGTGTTGAACTGAAAGGCAGGTCGGTGGCAGCGCACCCATTCCCACGCCTCCCACTCACAGATCATCTTACAGGCGCTGTATACCTCGACCTGCCGTTTCTGCACCCCTGGGGGCGCAGCGTCATGTAGTTGCGTCTTGAGGTTCCAAGAGGGCGATAAGGCTTTGAGAACAGCGGATACATTCCAGGTATCTGATTCGGGTGGGAATTCAGGTGAATGCCAAACAGCCATTTCGTTCAATTTTATGCTTACCTTGGTCGACCATCATGCCTTGCTGTCCAGGGTTTGGAGTATACGACGCCATTGACGAGGAGATGAGCACCACCCTACGCACGGAAGATACTTGTGACGCCGCCTGTAAGACGCTCAAGGTTGCTTGTCGGGACCAAGGAACCACCTCATTAATGTCAGTTCCTAGTGTGAAGTCGGAGACCTACACGAAGTCACAGACATTAGAGACATAGGGCTGTAGATTGGGAAAGGAGAAGCAGTACGAGTGAAAATTGAACGATGACATGGAAAGTGTGGACCGTGTCCGCAGGGAGAGAAGGAGGTTGGTCACCAGGTGTACGACCCCATCCGCGCCGGTCAGTATAGCTTCGATGGCCTCGGGATCACGAAAGTCCGGCACGAGAACTGTGTGAAAGCTGTTTGGCCCGAACTCTCTCTCGTAAAAGGCATTTAGCCAAGGTTTAGGGCTGCGAACGGTGCCGCGCACGCGGTACCCCAATTTGAGCAGTTCATTACTGGTGTGTGACGCCAGGTAGCCGTTGGCTCCCGTCACGACGACTGTAGATCCAGCAGGGAGAGCGAGGTTCATCTCAGGGAAAGTCAATCTGTGTTCTTTCTGTATGAACATTTCAATGATCATTAAAACGCGGCTCTAGGTCAATGATAATCTGCGGGCATTTTATTGTTGATGATTATGGCTCGGCAAGTGGGAAAGCAGATTCCCGATGACAAGCTCACCGGATCTGGACCCACAAAGCTTAGATGGGCAGCAGAGATCTGGTTCGGTGTCAATCTGTCGTAATCCCGAGTGCTTCTAGCTCACTGTGTGTCGGTCTAGATTCTTTGGATGAGGAGGGTCGGACATGCCGAAAGACCATGTCGTTCAGAAGACATATAACGTAATCCAACATTACAATGCCATGACAGAGGATATGACACATGAATCAAGCGCCGGCGACAGCGATGGATCGGTGACCTGACCATGGCGCTGGACCCCGGTGGGTGGGCTCGTTCTCGAATGCCTGTTCTTGACGTCTTTCGACCCTAGAATCGACACTGCATCTTGGCCCACGCTCCTCTGCCGATCTTTGCATCTTCTGGGCAAACTACGAAATAATATATAAATGCATGATTGAAGATTCAAGAATCAAAGCAAAGCGACTCATAAAGCTCTGTTGCCATGGTGCTTGACGAGCAAGACACTGTTTTAGGTCTTTTCGCTGGGCCAGTGATTTGCTGGCCCGACCATATCGCGGTAGACGATGGGCGCAAGGGCTCGAGGACATACCGACAACTGGACGAAGAGTCCACCGACCTGGCAGCATCCTTGAAGGCCAACGGAGTGAGACCAGGCCACATAGTGCCTATCGTTACTACCACCTGCATACAGATGGTGGTAGGGATCCTTGGCATTATGAAAGCGGGCGCTGTGTATGTCCCCATCGACCGAGAAAGATGTCCCCGTCACCGCATAGAGTATGTGATAAACAAAAGCCAAGCCAAGATCGTGCTATATACGGGAACCGAGTTCTCCGCCGGTCAGGCAAGAGCAATTCGTCTACCGATCGCTTCGGCTCCTCCTGATTATAATGAGCAGGTAGCCAGTCGCATCGACGATGTTCTCGCTATCATATTCACTTCTGGGACAACGAATGAACCCAAAGGTGTCCGGGTTAGAAGCAGCTCAGTAGCGCGCTTTGTGACTTCTCCAGGGTTTAACTACGATGTTACGCCGGCTGATCGAGTCTTGCTGGTCTTATCCGTTGGCTTTGATGGTACGTATCTTGCGATTTTCCATCGACCGATTTCGATGATCACGGCTTATCATGCTGACGGTGAATTTCGCAGCGTGCATGGGGACCATGTTCAACACACTGTGCAATGGGGGTACGTTAGTCCTGGCCGACTCGGATTCTCTGGCAGAGCGCGCAAGAGAAAGCAGCATCATCATTGCCACCCCTTCGATCCTGGCGGCGCTCGGGCCCCCTATCCCCGCGAAGTATTCGAAACTAAGGCGCATTGTCTTGGGGGGTGAGACTGCCTCAGAACATCTGCTTGACCTATGGGATAGCATACACGTACCGATCTGGATTGCCTATGGGCCGACAGAGGCCACTTGCGCCGTCTTGACTCAGAGATTACAGCGTGACCCACAAACGGGACGGTTCTCGCCCACGCGACTCGGGCATCCGATTCCAGGATCCACGATTATGCTCTTAAACCCAACAGATGATAGCCTCATTACTGAGCTCAAGACGCCAGGGGAGATCGGGATTGCAGGACCCTGTCTCTCGGCCGGCTACCTCGACGACGAGATTCAAACCAGCGAGAAGTTCATTCATCTCGGTGGCCATACAACATACCGCACAGGGGACATAGCAGAGTGGGTAGATAACATGGATGGCACTCGTATTCTGCAATTCCATGGGCGTGAAGATCGCCTGATCAAAAACCGGGGGTTCCTAGTCAACTTAGACCAGGACGTCGATCAGGGGATCATCCGATCGTGTCCCTCGGTGCAAGCGGCTTATTCACTGAAGGTCAATGGAATTCTCTGTACAGCCATCGTCAGCCCGCAGCTGGATACTGGAGAGGTCCTGACCACCTGGAAGTCAGCGGCCCTGCCCTACGCCGTTCCCGACCACTTCATTCGGCTGCCCAAGCTGCCCTTGAGTTCCAACGGCAAAGTGGATCCGCATCAACTCTCATCCATTATGGAGAAGAGGCTTCAAAAACCCCGGAAAGCCCAGAGATCAAAGACTTCATTCTCCCAATTGAACCAGACGCCAAAGCAAATTGTCCTGGCCTGGTTCCAGGATGAGATGAAGGTTCCTTCCACTGAGATTGACTTGAATGCTTCGTGTGTGTCAATGGGAGTCAGTTCGCTCGCTGCAGTCAACCTATCCTCCTTCTGCAGGCAGGGTGGTTATGCAATCTCAGTAGCTGATATTCTGGAAGCACCGTCACTCAAGGAGGTGTTCGCCCGATGTAAAGCGCCGTTGACCGCGCCTAGCAGCAAGTTCTCCAGCGAGCAGACAGGTCTCGTGACGCATTCAACCCTTAGCCCTCTACAGCATAAGATGGTTTTGGAGACAAAGGTTGATCCTCGAGTGAATTATGCACAACATATTTCCTATTATCGCACCCAGGATATAAGTCGCATCAAGAAGGCATGGGAGACTGTGACGCGCGCAGAGCCAATTTTCCGGACAGTCTTCACAGAAGGTGAATCCGATATTACTCAACAGGTGGTAACGGAGAGCCAATTTCACTGGGAGGAACAGGCAGTTCGCACCTCACAGCAAGTTAAGAATCTTCAGGATGG